TTGTGCATTTTGTGTCTAATTTTGGTGCAAAATGAAGTGTTTCAGGCTGTTTACCATGCTTTATTGTGAGCAGCCCAAATGAAAATAATGGATTTTCTTACAATAAAATGTTTAGTGAGGAAAAGTAAATAGTAATAATGTCAAAGTATCCTTTAGCAACCAGATATTTTTATTTTACAGATTTTAAATCTGAAAAGTAACATTAGGTTATCATTATTAGTTGACAGTGTTTGCATTTTGTGTTTTTAGTATGTGGCCAACCATACCCACAACAGGGATGAAAGGTAGGCATGGACATAAAATGACAAGGGTTAAGAGTTAAGGGTTAAGTGCTTGTTTATGCCTGGGGAGCTTATACCTATGCGGAGTAAAGCACTATCTTTACCTGATCCCCGCTTCTCCTGCAGTCAGCGCTTACATTTCTCCCCTCTGCTCCAGCTAGCAGAATGCCCTTTGGCGCCCTCATTTATGCTGCAGGACTGTGGAAACTGCATTAGACATGATGATGTCAGCACTCCTTAGACCGTCCAAGAAAAGGCTTTGGGGACCAATATAGCAGCATGGAGGGAGTCGGCAAGATCAGGTAAGTAAAATAGCTTTCACCTGTGCCCTAGGCATAAACAAGCACTTAACCCTTGCAGGGGCTAGCCCCACTGCAAAGGTACTTTTTTTTGTTTGCCTGTAGATGGGCTGTAAGCTCAGATGTTAGAGAAGGTAGTCATCCCATATAGAATGGCATACTAAGAAATTAACAATATGACTCAAAAAGAGATTCCTGATTAGAATATTATATTTATTACAGATACTCAGCCCTTAAACCATACCCCACTCCTCTATGTCATGAAGGGACACCCAATCTGCGCCCCCCCCCCCTTTTTGTTATACAACTTATCTGTGTCTCTGCACAGACTAGCAGACTTCAATGCTGCCCTATCAGATCTTTTGAAACTAGTAGTCATAGCTATTGTTCCTGTAGCAGCAAGGTTTCAGGGGTTTTACAACCTTTATATTGTTCAAAAATCAAAAGGAGGCAGCCGCCCTATCTTAGGACTGAATGCTTTAAATTTCTTCATTCAAGTCCAGAAGGTTTACATGGAATCCAGCAGGAATTTTGTAGACTCCATCTATCAGGAAGACTTTCTAGCCTCTGTGGTTATCAAGGATGCATACGTGCATGCCCTCATTTTTCCAGCACATCAATTCTACCTCCATTTTACTTTGGGCACTGAACACTATCAGTTTGTGGTACCAACATGTGATCTATGCTCTCAGGTCATTCCCAATATGCGATATTTGGACAACCTACTACTGACCAGTCGGCTCAAACTTTAACCGATAATGTGATGTGGACAGTCCAGACCATAAAAAGGTTAGGTTTGATCCTGAACATTCAGAAATCAGAATTGGAACCAAACACATTGTTTGAAGTATTTGGGTTATAATTTAGACACAGTTCAAAAAATTTTCTCCACCAAGAGAAACTTCTGACTCTCCACTCCCAGTTGAACTGCTCAGTTGTCTCGGAATAACTAATTCCTGTAATCCTTAATGAACAAGAAAGGAAAAAGGGGTTTTCTTACTGTAAAATCTGTTTCCTGGAGATCATTAGCGTACAGAGGCCCTATTTCTATGTTTATGACCTTCTACTGGTACTTTTTACATAACTAAAACATGCTTGGAGAGGAAATACCTGTCTGTGATCTTTCCAAATGATTAATTTCAACAAATGTATGCTTTTTCTTAGTCTGTTAGCAGATTAATACATAGATTTTTAATGTGTCATTTAAAATTCTCAGTAATGTCTGATTTCTAATACACAAAATATATGGTGTTTAATCAGCAAGCAGTGACATTTGATTATTTAAACTAAATGCAAGGCATCGGGTTTCCTTATTTTTTCTCTTGTGAAGCATCTTTAGATTTGGCATGTTTTCCCTTTTTCCAAGTGATGAAATGAAAGCTCTAATAAATATACATGGCTTCTCTTGCAAATGCATGAGGATGGCTGACGTTATGATATTCAGTTAGTGAGGTGAGTCTGTGCAGCTTACATGGATATATCTTAATGTGAATACTTAGCATGGCATTAGTCCGATAACCTGAGAAAGCCAAATAAAGCTTAAATACAACACGGATGCATTATGCAAAGCTTCCGCTTAATTTTCATTGCTTGGCTGTTGGCCTCCCAGGTGTTTCTTTCAGAGAACCTTACCTAAGCAAGTGTCTGAATTTACATTTGACATCTAAACTACTGCGAGCATGTGGCATTTTTTACTTGTTCAATTTGAAAAATAAATGACATTTCAACACAGTGACTTTATTGCTTTGACATTTGTAGCATTCTGTAATGTTGGAATAAGATCTGCTCATTTTGGATAGGTTTTTTTGTGAAACAAAAATTAAACTAGTCATTGTGATATTGACACATTTTTTCTTTATGATGATCTGTGTTAGTAAAAGTGTTATTTGCATTATCTAGATGGTAAAATTGGCTTAAAAGCAAAAAGTAGAATTGTAGGATGTTAAATAGCTGCCTTCGCACATGGCTAATTTGGGTCATTGCTTGCATGAACCCATTCGCTGCTACCCCAGTTGTTACCACTGCTGGTTTTCTTGTACCCATATTGATTCCTGTACATATTGATTCCTGTATAGATAGGTACTCATAAGACTGCTACATGCTAGCAGGATCCTACTTTTACCAGGCTAGGCCTAGATAAGAGTTGACAGCCTTGTGAGAATGCAACCCATGATGAAATTTATGATGAGTGAAGGTCATTAGAAAATAAGGAAAAGTTAATTTTGTTGCTAAAGACACCAAAACGTCTTTAACCTAGCCTGTGGCTGTTCACTGGCTTTGTCACTACCTTGGCAGATGTAAATCTTGGGCGGGGGAGTCATTGGGTAGAATCTGAAGGAACCTGGGGTCACAGTCTTGTCTGAGTATCAATAGCTGCAGCTAATTTTCATACACCTCTGGGATCGCTTGTCGTTGTATGTGCTATACCTTGTAGAATGAAAATAAATTGCCTAGAGTTTTTATCTATAAATGAGCATGTCTCTAGATAACTCTTTTTATTTGTTCAGTTTAACAAACTACAGCAATCTATAACTGTAAGTGTTTGGCTGTTGTCTGCCACAGTAATGTTTTCTTTGATATGAGCATCATACTTGTTTTGGTGACATATCAAAGCGAAATGCCTATATTCAACAAAATATTTTAAGCTGTCTGTTTGCCTCTGAAAGGCATATGAGGCGAAATAATTCCTTTTAAGGAGACCATTGTCACTGCAGTGTTTTTGCCGTTTTTAGTATTTGGTAAGGAAACGTGCATATATTCAAACCTCAGGAGACCACATGGTAATATGCTCTACTTAGCATGTTAATCCAAGTTATAATGAAAGCTGAATAGCTAGACCCTTATTGCTTTAGCTTAACCAAATAGTTTTTGCATGATTCACCAGCAGCTCCCTTACCACAACATTGACAATGGATTTTCTCTCTTAAAAGAATATACATGGAAAAAGAGGCTAAAACTATTCTGGCTGAGCTTTTGTTCCCTTTTTTGGCTGACTGCCATGATGATGATCTTCTGTTGAACTGAAACAATTGAAGATGTTTCGTTTTTGTTAAAACATTATGGCAAAGTTATGGATTTGGGTGCTGGAAGGATTAAGGAAAAAGGAGTTTGTTAAAAAAAAAACACTAACTGCAAATTGGTCTGTTCACATTATGTGAAATAACAGTGGGATAATATGATTATGTTAAATTACCGAGGAGTAAAGATGGGCATAAAGAAGAGATCATTTGTCAAAGATCTTAGAACTGCACATTCTGACTGATTACGATGTATCACCCATCTCAAACTATTCTATTTTTCTGAAATATAGTCATTTTCTTTATTTGCAACTGTTCCTTCCAGTTTGCAGTGCTTTATGATGCTCAATTTATCATACAAGACATTCACATTGTTAGCCAAATCAGTTCATTGCTATTATAACTATTTTAAATAGGAGGGCTCCAGTCCCCCTTTCTTTAATAAGAGCAAATGAGCAGCAGTTCCAAGAAATATCGTTGTGCAGTACATGATCGTATTATAAAGCAAAACTCACTTTAAACCTATAAACAGCCACAATAATTGGAGGATAGACAGAATGTGGGTCACTCCTAGACTTAGGAACATGGGACTCGTGGCCTTTTCCACCTCTGTAGTTCATATTCTTGGGCACCTGTGCCTTTACATCGAAGAGTGCTTTTGCCTGCTTCTGATAATAACTTTGTTTCAGAGTGACATTTTAAAGCACAGCTTGGTTTCTAGATATACACACTTAATTTGGTACCTCTTTAACTGGGCTGTCAATCAATTGATCACAGTGAGCAAGAGCACGTTAGCTTCTGCTGCGGTGATTGGAAGGCGGGTATGGTGAAAATTAACATAGTGTGAGGACTAAGACAGTATTAGACGAAGGTTATTACGAATGGAAAAATTAGTTTGGAATTAGTAAAAAATAGTTTGGGTTATACTTTTTTGTTGTGCTGATTAGGGATGAGTGAATGTGCTTAGAGTTCGGTTTGCAGGCTATACATCTAACCCATTGTAAAATCTGAAAATTTGAAGCCTCATAGGGGTGAATCATGAAAATCAATTCTGGACATTTTCAAAGCTAATAGGCAAGGAATTATAAACACACAGCATGGGGACCTTAGCTCTGCCATGGAGAACATGTACCAATGCAAAAATAAATTTGAATTCATTAAGGCAAATAAATTCCAAGAAGTGACGCAAAACCGGTTAAATTGGGAGAGCAGAAATAAAGCATGCAGAGTTATATTTTGTGTTTAGACGAACATTTCTGACCATAGTTTCACAGTTTAATGATAATGCATAAATAAGGCTAAACACTACAGCTTTATAAGAACTAAAACTTGGATTGGTTTCCTTACATAACTAAACATATATGTAGTCAGTCTTCTTATCTTGTCTCTTTCCTCTTCCTTAGCATGTGGTCGTGGATTCTATAAATCGTCATCTCAAGACTTGCAGTGCTCACGATGCCCAGCACACAGCTTCTCTGACAGGGAAGGTTCATCCCGTTGTGACTGTGAAGATGGTTATTACCGATCCTATTCTGATCCATCTTACATCGCCTGTACAAGTGAGTTAATCATTTAAATGACATTGCTTAATCAGCCAGTAAGTCATCATAACTTGGCATCCAGTTATCTGAGTCGTCATGTATTCAGAATATTTACTAATGAAAGTTGTCACATTCCACTGGGAAAAAAGGATCAGGCTTATGCACATACACTCCACTATAAGCGTTTCTTGAATGCATTAGCTTAGAATATGTAACTCGCATTGCTTGTGAGGAGATTTCCCTGAAGATGATAATATGCCTAAACTGGGATGGTGCTAATATGTGATTGAAAGAGTAAAAATACAAGAAGAAATACCATTATTTTAGCATATAAAAAATGATCACTACTATTTAAAGTGTGCTAAAAAGCAAGGTCCACTAATTTCATCATGCCCCCAAGCCCCAATCCAAAACACTGCATAATAGCTGTTAAAATACATCGGTAAATTAAAACTTTGAAAATACTTCTGGCTTCCGCACTGCTGAGCGAGACGTCATCATCCTTCCGGTAAATGTGCAATGCCTGATTTAAAGTAAAAGTGCAACTGAAGCTAAAACTTTTTTTTTAGTGTTGGATGGAGTGGAGAGGGATTAGAACACTGTTTTTATTGCTTTCTGCTTCCCTATTAGGGACAGTCACCTCCCCTATCTGTCCTGGTGACCGTTATCACTGAAAGTAAAAGAAAATGCCAAATTATGGGTCGTCACCAGAACATAAATAGATGGGAAATCTTCCACTAGTTCCAGCGATCCTGCTGACCAACAGTGATTTATCTCACATTGAAGGGATTTCCTTTCACTTGTTATGGCTATTGAACAGGACGTGAAGGGAAATCTTCCCTAGTGGACACAGATTGCAAAAAAAGCTTACAGGGGTTATAATCCTCCTTTACACCATCCAAATCTAAAAAAAAAATGTTTTAGCTTCAGTTCCACTTGAAAAAAACAACCCACAGGGACTGGTATTGCTGACCACCTCCAGACAATGCTAGCTGCCTGGTTGTTGCACTGGATTCAGTACTGTTTAAGTTACTGTCCTTGAACACATTTTCAAGTCAGGAAAGTGAGAATAAAGAAAGAAACCCTTATCTGCATAGTTTTGGGTTAGTGACTCAAATAGATTGATTTCCTAAAGGATTAGAGGCTATTCAATTAGTGAAGGAAATGTTCATAAATAGAAACTGTGTTCACTCTGAAAGCACAATCATGTGCAAGGACTATTAAAAAATAGGACTTTTGGTTGATTAAAGAGAACACAAGTCACCGTTTTTATTAAGCTCAGCGAACATTCATTTTTGCAAAGTGAACAATCTTTACTCCTTTAGTAAATTAACCCAGAAATATTAAAGCTAGAGGATCAGCGTGACAAGCAGGCAACTAGCATTTAGAGAAGGAGAAGTAAGCATTAGCAGTCTCCATGTTTCTGTCAGGGAAGGTTTCCCGCAAGAGCTGTTTTTTTAATTTAAAAACATTTATAATACCTGGAGGCACTATTAAGATCTCATGTATGTGGGCATCAAACCCATACACTTTGACATTGGTACATCTCTCTTTCTTGCAATATTTGTACCTCATGTCTGCTGTAGGGCACATTTGGGGATGCAAATGTATGTAGCTTGTATTTTCTGACATGCAACCTCATGCAGCTCAGTCTTGTGCTCTGTGTATATAACAACCCTCATTTCCAATACCGATGAACATAGGCGATCCTGGTCTTGGCAGTTGACGTGGAAAGAGGATGAATGTACTGGGTGTGAAGATATGTGAACTTGACGTTTATGTACATAAATCCTTTAGGGAAATGTGTGACAGGAAGTGGTCTTATGATGTAAATCCCTAAAGCTAGTTGTACAAGTTTCTGAATATGGTTTGCATAGTGTATCTTTTCAAAATGATTGTCACATACGAACCTAATAAAACAAGGAATTGGTTATGAGCCACAGCTACATTGTTAACCCTGGTTTCTTTGCTTTAGTATTGATATTCACCTCATTGGTTTAAAGTGTATATATCTCCTTCTGTTATTTATGTTTTTTAGTTTGTTAAATATACCATTAAATGTTTTTTTTTAACATATGTTCAATAAGTGAAAACTCCTGTTGATCCTGACAGAAATCCAGTGCTGTCCTGTGCACTCAGCAGATGACAAAAATGTTATCAGGAAATGTGTTAGATGTACAGAACACCCCCCTTATGCTATAGAGATGAGGAGAGGCTTGGTGTTCTGTAGTCTTAAAATTCTTCATTAGGGGGGTGACAATGCTTCACCTAGAATCAGTAGGTGTGAAATAAAGGAAATAAACTGGAAACAAAACTAGTGCAGTCACCACATCTAAGGACTGAAAACTACAGTATATTATATTTTTGCTCTTCAGCTTACACTTTATTCAGCCTCGTTCACACGGACATACATAGCCATACAGCGTGCACAGACAGGCTGCGTCCAAGGGTGTGCATCTGTGCCTGTGCAGATGTGCAAGTTCAAGTTGGCGTGTAGCCGCATGCAGCTGCATCCTGGCATTGGGTTTTACAGGCTGCTCCCTCCCTGTACAGTTGCACATGCTCATGCGAATAAGGCCTTTCACAATTTTAGCAGTTTAAGTTCAGTATGTTTAAAACTCAGAGCAACATTCACAGCTTGACTGATCATGACCATTTCAACAAAATACAAAAAAGTGATCAGGTTGTTTAATATTTGCTCACTTTGCCTAAATTATGCTGGTTTACTGATCATCCTGCAAAACTTACAATGTTTTTCTCCATGCTCACGTAAATGGGTTTCATTTCTGTATAAATTTCAGGTATTGTATATATGTAAATGCCATTTATGTGCTTAATCATATGGTTGTGGATGTCTGCTGTATTTATACTGCAATGTCACTTCGGTTTCTTTATGTAACTTCAATAAAAAATGTACATGCTTAAAAAAAAACAAAAAAAAAAAAACTTACATAAATAACAATACTGGAGAACAAAGCCTTTGATCTTAAATTGAGATGATGGAAAAGTCCCTGACTACATGATACAATTCAGTAAACACGAAATATAAATTAACAAACTATAAATGCTCCCTTGCCCTCCTTGTACATCAACACAAAGCTCAGATGAAACATTTTGGAGATTGTCAGTGTTTCAGCCTTTTTAGATCCAGATGGCATCTTTTAGGTGCTAGTAGGGTTTGCAGGTATATGGGAATCCCATTATCCTCTGTGGTCATATCTGTCAGATGTGCACTGCTGTAAAACCAACAGGCTACTTTGACATGGAAAAAGCCTGGTCTTGTGCAGGCTGGAGAGGTGTTTTTATGTATGTGATGATGAGGGTGAAAGGAGCATTTTGATGCTGGTTTATTTATAATTTTACTTCCTCTTTATAATAAAAAAAGGTACATAGGGACATTTCCACCATCCTAGTTTTAAATAAAAGGTTTTGTAACATAGTTCTGGAATTTGTGTTTCCCCTGCAGAATTGGTTTAATGCAAACCAGCAGTTTAGTTTGCACAGTGTAATTTGATGACCACATCAAATAAGAAGAGCCGAGATGCAGTTTAGCTGTAAAAATAGTCTGGTTACTGATCAATTGTAAACATTTTTTCCATATAGTCCACAGTTTGATTACTTTTTCTGTGGTTTTTCACAGAGGGATACAATTTTCCTAACACCAGTGTTATGTTCTTTTTTCCCTCTTTCCTCCTCTAGCTTTCTGTCTGTTCTTAGGTGGATATTTTGTAATTTTAGTTTCCTTAAATGTTTGTGTTTCCTTTTTATTTTTAAAAGGACCCCCTTCGGCACCACAAAATCTAATTTACAATATCAACCAGACAACAGTGACCCTGGAATGGAGTCCCCCTGCAGACAGTGGAGGAAGAAATGATGTCACATATCGCGTCATATGTAAACGCTGCAGCTGGGAGCAGGGGGAATGTGTACCCTGTGGGAATACTGTTGGATATGTGCCACAGCAAAGTGGATTAGTAGATACTTACATAACTGTTGTGGACCTTGTTGCACATGCTAACTACACATTCGAAGTTGAAGCAGTGAATGGAGTATCAGACCTGAGCCGATCCCAAAGGCTTTTTGCTGCAGTCACTATCACCACTGGTCAAGCTGGTATGTATTTATGTTTATACTTAACAGTGTACATATTTAGGTGTTATTAGGGTTCAGCCTTCTGCTAGAATCTGAGATTTAAATGAAAGGCACTGATTTTCCACTGTTCATTCTTTTGACTATGGTATCATGAATTGCAAGATGGTAAAATGTTTGCTAATGTGTTTCAGTCTACTCTGCAAAAATGTGAACTTGTTTTATTGTGACAGATTTGATGAGAGAAATACAGGGACTGCCATTTCTAACCTCCTCCAAGCTGACTGCTTGCCTGGCTTGTAGATTATGTATCTTTTGTTAACTTCATAAAGATACAATGCAGGAGCCAGGGTTGTAATCATTTAAACCTTTGTTAGGATATGAAGTGTTAAAATCTACTTTACAAATTATAATGAAATGAGCCAGCACGGTATAGAAAGGGTTAATAAACCCCTCACATCCCCTCCTAACATTACAAAGAAGCAAAAGCAAGTAGAAAGTTGAACTCTTTAGAAGCCAAGAAACCCTAACTCAAGAAAAAGCAATTTAAACTGCAAGAAACATCTGTTTATTTATTTTTAGCTTTTGCTATGTGAATGGGAACATGTAACAAATATAAAATATGTGTCATCCCAATTTGGCTGTGAAAGGGGAATGGGGACAGTCTGCTGAACAGTTCTACTATAAGCTGATGGTCGCTAAAGCGACCATCAGCTTATAGTAGAACTGTAAATGCCAGGTCCGTACGACGTACTGAGCTGGCCAGCTGGAAGCACTTTTGTAGCTCCGTACGACGTACGTCCTTGGCAGCGAAAGGGTTAAGGGAAGCTATACTGTGATAACTTAATGCCTAACTTTAGTTAGTACTTTTTTGGCATGAAATAGAGTGGGGGGAGCATTAGTACCTATCTTATGGGTATTATGTTTAGTGTGTCCCTGGGATTTCTGTGAGAATTTAAATAATGCTTATTTGTCGTCTTTTGCTCTTATATTTGGGGATCGTCACCTGGACAGGATGTGAGGAAGGAATCTCTCCAATGGAGACCTAGACATAACATTACTATCCTGACAGAGTTGCTAAAAAATTTTTACTCTACTAGCGCATGTGTTTTTTCTTTCTCTTTCATTGGAGGACACAGGATTCAGAGGCATTTTGGTTATATTGCTGGTTACAGGGGGATTTGTTCACTGGAACACACAGTCGAGTGTCAGTTTATATTTATTCAGTTGACTGTCGGTGTTGTACAGTACAACACTGACAGTCAGCTAGCCAGTACTGAAAAAAAAATCAAAGTTAAAAAAATTAATTCAACCCCCCCCCCCTCCTCAAAAAAATAAATAGTTAAAGCCCCCTGCATACAAGCACATATAAAGATAAACAGATGCATATTCACGGTTAATTCTAAACTGTAAAAGTAACCTATGGACAATTTTAGGTACTCAAGGGTTTTCGACTTTTCATAGGCGCAGTAATTTGAGGCTTGACATCCATTTCCTCAACTTCACTGAATGATCCCAAAAACTCATCTTTGAGTACCTACCGTTTTAGAGCTGTCAACCTGAAAGCTCCATTAGGGAAAACAAAGAGTTTGAACACTGTTTGGGTTTGATCTTCTCAACAGGATTGCAGAGGAGGCAAAAAAATAAAAAATCAGTGCATTTTTTACTAAAATTGTAGGTTTGATAAACTGTTGCATAAATATCGTGTCATATAAATGTTTGCAAATACCATCTTTTCATTTTAAAGGGTTTCTGCTTTCAGAAAATATATACAGGGTTATTCACAAAAGGATGAAGGGTTTGGATAAGACAGGAGAAGTGAACAATCTAGGACAACATGAACTGGAAAGTGAGCTGAACTGGAGAATGTTTCCAAATCAGCTATGTTGTCCTGAGATTGTTCACTTCTCCTGCCTTCTCCAAACTCTTCAACCTCATAATGTTTTTGGGGTTTTAAGTAATCTTCAGGTCAACAATGCACATTTTAACTTGTCCAAAAATGAAAAAAAAAAAAGCTAAGGCAACAATAGGGTAAACACTGTCTTTAGAAAGCCTGCCTTTGGGAGGGCTGTGCTGGCAGTGACACTATGGGGGTGATTTACTAACCTAAACACACGCACGCACTAGGTGCGTGTGATTTTTACACAGCAAAACATATTTATCAACCAAAAAGTCTTTAAAAGCATATTTCCACTAATGCCATATATGGAAAAATCATGCACATGATGCATATATAATGCTGCTTCACAGTTTAGACAAAAATGGTTAGCTCATGCATTTACATTCCTGCATTCATCAACGCAAGCAACACCATGTAGAGCTAATTTACACAACATCACCTTGCAATTCATGCAGGGCTTTGCACAACACACCTGATGGGTGTGTACACACTACAAAGGTGTCTAGATTCCACCAATAGATCATGCTGGGAGGGAACACACTACAGAGGTGTATACTTGTTTGTGGCGTGTGTATAAGGTTAGTAAATCAACCCCTATTACTCATCTGCATCTGAGTTCTATATCTACATTAACCTTTTTAATGTGTGCCTAGCCTAAAGTAATTGATTAATCACTGGTTTGCATAAGCCATGCTGGTAATTGTCCTAACAAAAACCAGTGTAATGCCAGTGAAACAGTAATCAGCCAGGGTTTTACATTTCATGTTGCAGTTATTAAATTATTGAATATGAGCTCTAATTGTCATCTTTGCAAACTATACAGCCAGCTTTTGTCATCTCCAGCATAGTCCTAGCCGATAGGACAGATTTTTGTTGTTCAGCAAGTTATTCAAATCCAGTGCTGGGTAGAATGTTGAATGAGATGTATATAGCAGAGACGTGTAACATTTGCATGTTTTTGTGTATTATGCAGTTGTCTTGGGAATGCATAGAGGTGAAGATTGGCTTACACAGTGCTCAAATTTGTGTCGGAGACTGAAAGAATCATTGCTCCAGGGATAAGATATAATTTAGCTACAATTGTTTGCAGCGACTGACAGGAAGTGTAGGAGGTGGAGGCTATCTGTCATTGCTGACACCCTGGGAAGCAGACTAATCAATTGCAAAGGGAATCATCCTAGCAAATCACATCGCTAGAATACCTTAATTGAGAACTAATCAAGCTTAACTGCCAGCAGCTGATTATTTTTTAGCTGTGACTTCAGCAGTTATACAACACCAGTACCTGTACTAGTAGAGTCTAGAAATCATTAGGTTACAAATTTATATTAGAAGAATGTGTAAAGTTCTTACAGGAAAAAACAGGAATTCCCTTTATTATACAGCTAATGCATTTAAGCTTCATTTACATTCTGCTTGTGGATCTGCATTTATTAAAGTCACCCAATGAGGTTAAGGAAAATAAAAATTAAACATCCCCAAATCGCATTTGCTTTAAAATTAGGGTAGATATTGATGTCAAATATCAATCATTGGTTAAAAGAACCCTGTGTTAATAATATGTATTGTCATTGCTTAACTTCTAAAAAATGCTAGCTGGCTGACTGCATGCTGACCCAGTGGCTTGAGTACTTTTCAGTATATTGTGTTTTGCCTATATCAACTATGAAAATAAAAGTATGACTTGAACAGCTAACACTATACTGACTAGCAACCAAAACATGTAATGTTATTGCAACAATGAATCCTTAGGCCTCAGTCACACGCTGCAGCGGGCCATACACGGTCAAAAAGGTGTGTATTTCTGCATCTCGGAGTCACAGGTGTTTGCCTACAGCCATGACCAGCATCCTGTAGTAATCAAAAACAGGCTGACAGACTCTGTGGCTGTTCTCACATCTGAGTGGTTACATGTATACAGGGATGAATGAGTGGCCCTGGACGCAGACAGTTTGTATATGAGTCAATACCAGAAAAGGTAGGGAGGAAGCGTACAGGGCTGTGAATTAAGGTATTACACCCCCTCCATAATAAACTAGCAATAGATACTGAATATAAGGGGAAGGGGGGGTACCTAGCCACCACATGTCCAGCTGCAGTAGTTAGTGAGGCTCTGCTGCAGCACATGTGCTGACAGGGAACATTCTGAAGAAAGGAACGATTAGAGACTGACCTCATCTGTGTACTGCTCCTCCATCAATGTTCAGTCATCATCCTGTGGAGCCCCGAACAGGCTAAGCAATCAATAGCCGACTAATCGACTATTGAAAACGCCAACGTTTTCAATCGTCAATTTTAATCGACTAAATCGATTACCTGTTGCAGCTCTAGTCTCATTTACTTATACATGACGCATTATAAACAAAACAAAAGTAGTTCAATTTGTAGCAAATTTATCTATTTGTCTAGCAGACCTAGCTTACTTCCGGAAAAAAATATATATAATAAATGTAATTGTGTGTGTGTATCTGTGTGTGTTTGCTTTAACTCTGGAATGTGGGGCAGTGAGTTTAACTTGTTGTTCAGTGATTAAAGTGACATTAAACCCTCAGATTTTTTAACATAAAACAATAGTGTAATGTGTGCCTTATTGTAATCCATGGTAGTTTCCCTTCTCTTCGCTGCTCTTCCTTTTAAATCTGTATCTGTTCTCATGGGGTTGATTAGTAAATCAACCCCATGGTGTCTGTGTGTAGGTTTGCAACCTGAGCCAGCACTACAGGAAGAGGCACTCAGTTGCAAAGGGAAGTTCTCCCCCAGCATGAGAAGACATGCGGATTTAAAAGGAAGAGCAGCAAAGAGAAGGGAAACTACCATGGATTACAGTAAGGCACACATTACAGTATTGGTTTATGTTAAAAAAATCTGAGGGTTTAATGTCACTTTAACTAAAGGATGAAAAGTTTGGAGAAGGCGGGAGAAGTGCACAATTTAGGACAACATAGCTGAAATGGAAAGTGAGCTGAATTGGAGGATTTTTCTAACTCGGCTATGTTGTCCTAGATCCTTGGTTCTCAACTGGTGGGTCGTGACCCAAAAGTGGGTCGCAACCCCATGTTCAGTGGGTCGCCCCATGGCTTCCACTTTTCTAGGTGAGAGGCTCCCCAGCCTCCCCCTAGCACAG